AATGCCATCCTTAACATCTCCCGCTAGGCAAATTGTAGCCATCATATGTTTAGGGGAAAAATTGGATTTGCCTTGTAATCTAATCAATGTTAAATAACAGTAATTCTAACTCCAAGGCTCTATGTTTAAAGTGCTGTGGGTCTCTGGGGATCATCAGAGTTATTTAATCTAATGAAATTACCATTACTGTCTAATGAGGGTGCACCACAGGGATGTGTTTCCTGGGAAGGAAGCAATGGTTAAATCACTGGCAGTCAGGGCCAAATATTCAGAGGGGGTAAATAGGCAGAGTGCAGTAAGTTGAAGGTTTCACCTGGTTGGGACCCAGAGCTCTTTGGCTGCATCTTTCTAATGGGAACTGGCATTGCTGAGGACATGGTGGTGGTGAGCACACACCCAGGTCCCTCCCGTCACCTCCCCGGGATGCCTGGGCAGGCTGGGCCACACTGGTGCCACCTTTTCCCTTTTTCTGGCCCAAGCAGGAATTATTGGATTCGATGATCTTAAAATTTTCCAACCCAAATGATTCTGTGTTTTGTAATCCATCTCAATACTTCATCCTGGGTCATGCCTTGCAACCCCAGCAGGTTGCTCTCTGCGTTGGCTCTCCCTGTGGTGGTCCGGGCTGTGTTGTCTGCTGGTTTTTAAGATGTTTTCCCCCAAACCTGCTGTACTTTTTAATTTTCATTAAGTGGTTTTTCCTTATCTCCTTTTTAGAGGGAGATAGGGCCTATTTCAGTTCATATTTCCCATGCTGGCTTCGCAGCAATTTCTGAGCCACCAGTCGATTCAGTCATTACGAAGCAAGCCGAGCCGTATTGAGCCGGCTGCTTTCCTACACGCTGAACTTTTATTGTATTCAAATATGTTGGAGTTATGTCAGCAGCAGGCAGGGACTCTGCTGCTGTCAAATGCCAGCACGGGCGTATCCTGTGTAACCAGGGGAGTGTTCTTTCCCTGTAGTGCGGGCTCTAATTTCCCATTATTATTTCTTTAATAAGACTGATACTTACTGTACATCGCTCATTTGCTCCTAAAATTGGAGCCATTAGAGCAATAAGTGGCAATTACCTTCTGAGCGGCGTGGCGTGTCAACCCAGCGCGGTGCCTCCCCGAAGGAGGAGGCTGAAACCTGCCTTTCAGGAGCAAACACCCGCGAGCAGCAGCCTAATGCCGGGGTGGCTTTGTAGGGACAGCTGGGTGTCTGTCGGGGGTGCCCGGCACCCTCCGGAGGGAGGATTGCGCCCATGGGTGCTGGGGGAGGACACATCTGGCTTGGTGTCTGTGGATGATGGAGACGAGGAGGGGTTGTGGCTCTGGACGTGCTGCTGAGTTATGTCGGGACATGTTCCCTATCCGGTGGCTGGGCTCCTCTGTGCAGCCCATCCCCAGGGAGCGGCTTCTCTGCTGGAAAACAATCTCCATGCTGAAAAAAAATTAAAAAGGAACATGTCTGGGAATTTAATCATATTAAGTGCTCCTAAAAAATCACGTCTGTGCTGCACAACAGCATGCCAGAGGTCTCTGGGGGAGCAGATGCAGCAAGACCGGTGAGGATTTGGTGCAGAGGGATGGGGCAGAGGAGGGACTTCTGGAGGACGGAGGGTGAGATGTGCTAGCAGGCATGTCTGAGACCCCTGTCCCCGCACGCCGCCCTGTCCTAAACGGCCATAGCCCGGCCAGCGCTGCAGGCCACCAGCCCTTGCTCCCACAGGGGCAGCACTCTGTCGTCAGGGCTGGCGCGGATGAGCCCCACGGCCACAGCACGGGTCCCCTCAGCGTGGCATGGGAGCGCAGGCGATGCCCTGCGTGCTAACGAGGAGGTCCAGGAGCCGCCGTCGGCGAGGACGGTCCCTACGGGTGGCTCCTCAGCGACAGCCAGGATGTCTGTGTTCATTATGCACATCCCTTTCATGCCGCCTTCATTATTCGCATGCTATCTAGTGTCATTAAGATATCAAGTTCATTTAGGTACATCCACATTGGCAGTTTAATTATGTCTGGGTACTACTCTGTATTTTATTCGTGGACTATCTGGGGGCGGTTGTCAAACACAAACCCAGGAGATAAAGGTTCGGTGGCTGCAGAATGCTAATGTCCTGCTGGTTCCCTTTTGACAAATACACATGCCAGTTATTACCAAACTGATTATTTCATTCATTAACACCACATACATCAGCTCCCTTCACCCGGTATTATTGTATACATTCATCTTTTCATAAACAATTACCTGACAAGGTTGGGAAAGGCAAGTACTGGGGAATTAATGCTCTGATGAGAAGTTCCTGGCATGGGTTAGTAACAAGGTGCTGGGGGGGGGGGGGGGGGGGGGGGGGGTGTGGAATGCCCCGTTAGCGCGATCGCTTCATTAATCAAATTAGGGACAATAGCACGTCACATGCGTGCCATGTTTCCCGACAATACCGAACCCGTTTGCATTGTGCCAGGGGCTCTGTGGATGGGGCTCCCTGTCCGGTTTGCGGTGATGGGGGAGACGAAATGAAAACCGGGGGAGCCGGCGGGAAGGCTTGGAAAGCATTCACTGCGGCCGGACCATCGTGTGCATTTCTCATCTGCCCTTTTCTTTTTTTTTTATTATTATTAATTATTATTATTATTGTCGTGAGGAACATTTGCATGAGAACAGGCTCTTTGTTTATTGTTTGTGCTTTTTTTCCGGCTTCCACATACTGCTTTCCTGGAGCTGTAACCCTCCACGATAGCATTAGCGGTGGTGGTGGGAATGATTAAGACACCGTGAACATGCAACCATCTGGGAGAACAAACCCCCCTGGGTCTTCTTTCTACATTTTTTAACTGTAAAAGGCTGGCAATGGAGAAAAAGAAGTACAGGGAGACATGAACAGTGAAAAATAACCAAACTCATGAAATAAGTGATTCGTGCAGCTTGCTTAGAGATCGTGGTGAAACCCAGTGGACAGGACTGGTGACGCTGCTTGCCCAGCTGGAAGGCTGCTCTCACAGTCTGGATCTGCCACAAGTAGCATCCTCCAGCGTGCTATGTCCAGAATTAACCTGTGTGGAAGGAATCAGACCTGGAGCCGCTCTCAGCGATTTCACTTGAACACACAGCCCACAAGGTTTCAGTGTGCTGTTGGTCCCGTATTTATTTCTTTAAAGACGTTGCACCCTCAACTGTTTCCACCAGCAAGCTCGCTCCCTCTGATGCAGAGAAGGAGCAGCTGCAGGAGGCCACCAACGCAGCCAGAATCAATTCAGCTTTTCACTCAAGCAGACACGCTCGGAAAGTAATGCTTCAGGGGTCACACTTCTGCACTACTCCAGCGCAGGATTTGCAAACTAAATAAAGGATCCAAGTGAGATTTAAGTGCCTAACTCCCTTAGGCCCCTTTGAAAAAAAGCCCCACTGGAATAACTAAGAAGCTTTCACTGTGCTTTTGCAAAAACATTAATCCTCCTTGCTATCTCCACGAGTCTCTTTGATCACGCTTCAAAATCTTCATCTCCAGGGGTCCTGTCTGGGCTTTCCAAAGTGGAAAGAGCAGACGTCTCGCTGCTTCTTGGGGAGACCTGGGCTCCCAAGAGACAGGATCACTTTTCAAAGTCCCCCCATGGCTCGCCATGTTGGGATGGACAGATCACACCATGCCAAGGCTGCCAGTGGTGCCGCTGCCCTGCAAGGTGAGACCCCATGCCCCGACCACGGGCTGATGCCCGACTGTCGTGGTGGGCCATGGTGCCAGCGTGGATCTGAAATCCCTGCTGCTGTTAGGAGTGTCAGCGGGGGCTTAGCCAGTTTTTCCTGCATTTTCTTCCATTTTCCCAGGGGAGCACAATGAAAGAGGGAGCACGCTCAGGCTGGGTTTTCTTCTCTTTGTGGATGCTGAGAAATGAAGGGGGAAGGAGGGTTGGTCTTCCTAAGCAGGGCAGCCCTGGAAAACGAGAGGCTGGGGGTCATCTTCAGGAGCTGATCTGAAACCCCCAGCCCATGCCAGTTTGGTGCTGAGTGAGGAAGATGAGGGTTTATTGGCCTGGATCCAAATGGCTCAAGTTGACTCATGACACTGAGGTCACTAATTGTTTGGGTTTTTTCATCCATTCATAGTCTGGAGAGCACTTTTCTTTCTTTCTTTCTTTGGTTTTTTTTTTACATTAATGGGCTGGATTCACTCTTAGAAACCTTGGTGTCACACTAAGGCCCAAGCAACAGCCTCCACGTCCCCACTCCCTCCCCTGTGCAGTGAGGTGAAGGTGAGCATGGCACAGATGTATGGACCAGCTGGACGTCAGCTGGACGCTGGGACTTCTTCTTCCTCCGCTTGCTGTACAATTTACTCATGAAATTTAGATCTGCTATCAACTAAAACATCCTGAAATATGTCAGATGACGCTGTTTGATACCGGGTTAGACAATGATGCATTCCCTGGGAGGAGGTGGAATAGCTGAGCACAGAAAAGAGCTCTTAATGCGTGACCTTGTGAGCTGTGGCTAAAATCCCTTCATAGACTGCGGGGCTGGAGGAGGCCAGGCTGCGATTGCTCAGTGCAGTTTCTTCAGCACAAGCCCCTGCCTTGCCCAGAACTTGCAAATTAGGCTAGGAGGAATCTTTTTAAGCTTTCTATTTTCTGGAGACTTTTGCCCTCTTTGCACTTGACTGCTTTGCTCCAGGAATGAGTAGGGAGCCCTTTCCCAGCCATTAAACTTTCGTTTAGCGGAAGGACAAAGAATTGGCATGGGAAGGATGAAGAATGACTGCAAGGGTAAACTTGTGTGACTCTGTATATTTTAGATCATAGCCTGAGGTCAGGCCCCCTTTTTTGTAATACAGATAGAGGATTTTTTGGCCTTGCAGCAGGAGGAAATGTGTAGTGACATAAAAAGAATTCACTTCTCAGCATAATTTAAGAAACAACCTCTGTTCTCAAAAGGGGGGTCCTTTGAGGTGTCTGGCTCTTCCGTAAAGCTCCCTGTTGATGTGCATGCACACACACAACTATATGTGAAGCATCTCCAGCAGTATAGGGCATGTCACAGTATTTCTCCAAACTTAATGATTGCTGTTGAATTGTTTAGGACTCCACAACAATATCTTGGAGGATGGAACCCTTTGTCTCTGCAGAGAGGGGAGAAAGTCCAACAAACCCCAGCAGCTGGGCTGTTAACCCGCAGGGGTGTCTGAAACTCGCCGGGAGCAGTTGTCTGGCCCAAGTGGGTCTCAGCCTGCTGTGCCCACTGCCCATTTCGGATATTATCTCCCTACCTTGGGCTTCAGCTTCCTTAGTTTAGCTACTTTAGTTCCTGCACTCAGTAGGTCCTGATTTTTGGTGTCTGAGATCTGGCGGGATTTCTGCTCCTCCAGAGGGAAGGAGGATGGAGAAACACCTTTTTTTCTCTAGTCCCCTCCATTCAGTGGTTTTCTCTATCCTTCCGATTTCCAGACAATATTTCATTCCCCTTCACATTGCCTGTAGCTTCTCAACCGCCCCTCTCTCCTGCTCCGGTTCCTGCCCTAGCTCCTCTCCCATTCTTCTCTTCCATGGGAAGAACACATGCACTGCTGTGAGTGTGCATGGCTGAAGGTACGCCTGTGTTTGTGCCTAAGAAAAATGAGGCAGACATGGAAAACAAGCAAATCACATTATATATTGCAGGCAATAATGTAGCTCCCAGGGGACAGAGATAATATAGTGAGAGACAAAGGAACAATAGACTTTGCTGGCCCGAGCGCTCACTTGATTGTGGCTTTTCTGGAATTATTCTTGACTTCCTTTGCGTGAGTGGTGAATCGGGCCTTGGAGCTGATAAGAGATCAGGATGCGGTCTGGGGGCTGCGGCAGGGATGCACATCGTTTTGTTGGGAGCCCTTGTCGTACATAGTGCTCTTAAGGGGAGATTCTTGCTCTGCACAGAAGCCCTGCAGCAAGGGATGGGGATTATTTTAAAGCTGGCTGTGATTTTTGTGGTTTGGAAAAACACGCCGCTGTCTGAGGGACTTTGTCCGGACAACTGTGTTGATTTGCATTCCCGTTTAGGGGTGGGTGACATTAGCAGTGGGGGGGAAGCAGCGGCGATTCCCTGAGTTTTGGATGCAGAAAGAGGCATCAGGATGAAACCGCTGGCATTAACCATGCAGGGTGCTCCCCCCAACGCCACACCTGGGGCTTGGGGTGCTTGCAGGACACAGCGGGGCTGTCAGTCCCCAGGCTTGCCGGTGGCCGAGCGGGGGGCGCAGGGCCAAGTTAAGGCAGAGGTTATCAGGGTACATGTTGGGGATGGCTCTTCTCACCAGCCCGGGTGGCAAGGAGCCTTCCAAACCAAAGCACCACTGGCTTTTGGAACAATCCTGGCCGGAATGCTCTCCTGGGGCTCCCCAAAGTTTCCTCTACAGAGGCAGCCAATGCTTTGAGACATGCTTCAGATTTTCCTTCTTTCCTTCTTTTTTCCTCCCTTCTCCATTTCTTTTTCCTTCTTTCCTTCTCCTTCCTTCCTTCTCTTTTTTCTTTCTCTTCTCTATCTTCATTTTTCTTTTCATCTTTTTCTTCTTTCTTTTCCTTTCTCTCTCTCTTTCTCTCTTCTGCTTTTTCTTTCTGTCTGTCTGTCTTTCCACCCTTCTTAGACCTCAGCAAATTCCAGGAAGGCATCAGTTGTCTTTAACACCCAAAGGAAAAATCGAAGGGAAAGGTTCAATTACTCGCATGAAAAATGAGTCTTCTAACCGAGGTCTATCCATTTGCTAGTTGTGCTTGTTTTAAAACTGAATTATAGAGACTGCACATTTTTCTGGAGACAAATGCATTAATTTTTCTCAAAACAGACAAGAGGGAAGCAGAGGGAAAATAAGATAATAAGAGTTTCCACAGTGATTTATATGCCTTTGTGAAAAATAATGGGGGCAGACGGCAGCGTGCACCGGCAGCCCGTGGGGGAAGGGG